CGCGTGTGGCGCCGCGCCGAGCGCGCGGCGTCGAACGCCGGAAGCCGCGCGACGCGTCTCGGCCCCGCGCGCGCGCGTCGATGTGGCGTCACACCTCGACGCATGGCGCGCGCGTCGTCCGTCTTCGCCGCCGCCGCGCCCGCGCGCGCGCGACGCCCCGCGCGCGAGGCGGCGAAGGATGCCCTGCGCGCGGCGTGCCTCGGTGGCGACGCGCGAGGGGTGGAGCGACGCGCGCGAGCGCTCGAGACGTTCATGCTCGCGAGCGAGTGGGCGACCGTCGAGCGAACGAGCGAGGGGGTGTGGCGCGTCGCGTACACCAACGCCCCGGCGCCGTCGAACGGACGCCTCGGTGTGTTCTCGGGTGCGTCGTTTCAGGTCGTCGACGCGACGAGGCGACGGTACTCGAACGTCCTGAGCGTGCCGCCGGAGAATTGGTTGCGATGCGAGTTGCGGGCGCGATGGGACGTTTTAGAGGATGATGCGCTGTGGTTGGCGACGTTTGAGAGCGTGGAGATTAAAGTGTTTGATCGGTTTGTGTTGGGGAAGAAGGTGTGGGGAGAGGGAGAGGTGACGAGGGTGTGGCGGACGACGTACGTGGACGACGACGTGCGCGTGGTGCGAGCGGCTCGGACGCGAGAGGCGGAGGCGGCGGGCGCGGCGCGCGGACGGCGGGCGAGAGAGGGTGAGGATTGTTTATTCGTCATGACGAAGGAGACGCCGTGGTGGGAGATCCCCACGGGCGTGTAGCGCTGGCTCGTAGAGTTTTTAATGACGCGTCGCGTAACCATTCAACGTTCAACGCTTTGATGATAACAACCGACGAGTCAACCCTTCCACGTCACTGACGAACGATCTTGACTCATCCGCGAACGTTCGAACTCGAAGAATGATGCGATTTCGAACGATTCCTAGGCGCTCGTACGCCGATGACGCCGCCGCACTGCGCTCGCTCTTTCCGGAGAGCGCTCGCGATCGAAACGCGCGCAAGACGTCGGGCACCGTCCTCGGCGTCTGCGACAGCAACCACGTGGGCATGCCCTTCCCCGGATCCGTAATCAAAGTGTACCGCACGCGAACGCCTCGTCCGATCCCCGATTCGACGTCACGCAGTTCCCAGCTCCCGCAGTTGCACCGCATGCGCGCCCGTCCCGGCGGCAGCGGCGGCTCGTGCTCTCTCGTCGTCTTCCACCTCCCCGCGTTCACACCCGCTCGGCCGTCCGATAAATCCTCGATCTCAATAGTGTAATCCCGATCCCCCGCCACCGGCGCCCGCACCGTGGCCGCGCTCCACGTCTTCGTCCCGCGCTTCACCAACACTCGCGCCGAGCGCACGTACGGGACGAACTCGTCGTACCGATCCAAATCACAAATCGCCCTCCAAAGCGCCCCGCGATCGACGTCCTCGAACGTACACTCCGCCAAAATCTCCTTCACCCCCTCTCGCGCCCCGGCGCTCCGCGGCGCCGGTCGCGTCCACACGTCGACCCCGCCTCGGGTCCGCGACGCGCACCGCGTCCACTCGTCTCCCGGTCCATCTCTCCCATCCTCCGACGCCGTCGTCGCCGATTTCTCGTGAATTTTGACACGAACGCATTCGCGCTCGACCCGTCGCCGCGCTCCGGGGAACGCGGGCGCGAGGCGCGGGGCCGACATCGCGGCGCGCGTTCCAAAAATACCCCGCGCGGTCGTTACGCCGTTGGAAATTCGACGATTCGTGTTCCGACGCGCGCGCGCCCGACGAGGGCGCGCGCGACGACGCGCGCGACGACGCGCGCGACGCGTCGACGCGTCGCGGTGTCGAGGGCGCGTCGCGCGCGCGGCGTCGCGCGCGCACGCCCGGGGCGTCGCGCGCTCGAGGTGCGTCGTGCACGCGGTCGGACACATGGCTCGTATTATCGTGCATCGTATCAGTATATACAGAATACAGACCAAAAGACCTCCAGCGCGTCGTCTCGCGCGCGCGCGCGACGGGCGCGACGCCACGTCGCGACGCCGCACGCGCGCGCGGACTCCGTGGGATCATGACGCGTCTCGCCGTCGCGCGGAAGGCCTCGAGAGAGGCGTACAAGACGCTCTTCGGCGCGCGCGCGGTACGTCCACGCGCGCGGTCGCGATCGCGGGAAACGTAAAGATCGCGCGCGGTCGCGACGCGCGACGCCCCGCTCGCGGCTCGCGCGATGGAATACCGCGCGGCACGAATTGTTTTCGATGCCGGCGTCGAGTCACCGCGTCGTGGGACGACGGCGAGGGCGTGAGACGAGCGATGCCACGCGATCGTCGACTCGGAGCGGAGAGAACCTACTCCGGTCGTCGTTCGCTCGTCCATCGCACCGGAGCGTGGACGTCGCGGGACGGCGTCGGGGAACGGAGAGACGCGCGATAGAGATTTGTGACTGACCGCGGACGTTTGTTGGACGAATTAGGGCGCGATGCGAGCGATGAGCGCGGAGGCGGCGCCGAACCCGGACACTGTTCCGGTGACGGTGAACGGACAGGAGGTACACGTCCCGAAGGGTGTCACCGTTCTGTACGCGTGCGAACAGGCCGGAGTAGACGTTCCGAGGTTTTGCTATCATCACAAGCTCTCGATCGCCGGGAACTGTCGGATGTGCCTGGTGGAGGTTGAGAAGAGTCCGAAACCGGTGGCGTCGTGCGCGATGCCGGTCATGCCCGGTATGAACATCAAGACCACGACCGATCTGGTGAAGAAGGCGCGAGAGGGCGTGATGGAGTTCTTGCTGATCAATCACCCGCTGGATTGCCCGATCTGTGATCAAGGGGGCGAGTGCGAGCTGCAGGATCAGAGCTACATCTTTGGAAGCGACCGCTCGAGGTTCACCGAGTACAAACGCGCAGTGGAGGATAAGGAGCTCGGTCCGCTAGTGAAGACGGTGATGACGCGATGCATTCACTGCACGCGATGCGTTCGGTTCTCGACCGAGATCGCGGGTGTGCAAGACATGGGGATTACCGGTCGCGGTAACCAAGCCGAGGTCGGTACGTACATCTCCAAGCTCTTGGCCAGTGAACTGAGCGGAAACGTCATCGACCTCTGTCCAGTCGGTGCACTGACGTCAAAGCCGTTCGCATTCACCGCGCGCTCGTGGGAACTCGAAGGAACGCCGAGTATTGACGTCACGGATGGCTTGGGTAGCAACATTCGCGTCGACACACGCGGGAACGAAGTGATGCGTATCGTCCCGCGCGCGAACGAAGAAGTGAACGAGGAGTGGATCAGTGACAAGGCGAGATTCTCCTATGACGCGCTCAAGCGTCAGAGATTAGATAGGCCCATGGTGAGAGGCAGTGACGGTAAGCTCCAAGAAACGTCTTGGGAGTTTGCCCTTGACTATGTCGCCGAGAAGCTCAAGGCGACCGAGCCGGACGCCATCCGCGCCGTGGCGGGTAAACTCTGCGACGCCGAGTCCATGATCTCTCTGAAGGATATGATGAACAAACTCGGGGCGTCTCACACCACGCCGGAAGGAATGGCCAATGTCTCGGCGGATGTTCGCTCGTCGTACCTGTTCAACTCCAACTTGGTGGGCGTCGAGGATGCGGATTACGTCTTATTGATCGGTACTAACCCTCGCACCGAGGCACCGGTGCTCAACGTGCGCCTTCGTCGCGCGGTCATTGCCGGCGGCGCCACCGTTACGAGTGTCGGTCCGAACGCCGATTTGTCCTACCCGAGCACGCACCTGGGCGACACCACGGCGACGCTCGAAGAAATCACGTCGGGTAAGCACGCCGTCTGCGAAGCTATTAAGGCGGCCAATAACCCGATGGTGATCGTCGGTAGCGAGTTGTTGAGACGTGCGGACTCGAAGATTTTGTTGAAGAAGATTCATGCCATGTGCGACGAGCTCGGCGTTGTCAAGGGTGACTGGAACGGTTTCAACGTCTTGCACGACGCGGGCGGGACCGTGGGTGCGCTCGACATCGGTTTCGTGCCGGGTACCTCCGCCTCGAACGACGTTCCGGCGAAGTTAGTCTATTCCTTGGGCGCCGAGGAGTTCGACGCCCCCGCGGGTGCGTTCATCGTGTACCAAGGGCATCACGGCGCCCAAGGCGCGTCTAAAGCCGACGTCATTTTACCAGGTGCCGCATACACGGAGAAGACCGGCACGTACGTCAACACGGAAGGTCGCGCGCAGGTGGCGGTCGCTTCTATGGGACCGGTCGGTCAAGCGAAGGAAGATTGGCGTATCTTGCGCGCGTTGAGCGAGTTCGCCGGCGTGCCGCTTCCGTACAACACTCACGAGCAAGTGCACAGGCGCTTGGCTGAAGTCGCCCCTCACTTCGCTAAGTTGAACGAAGTCGAAGCGACTTTGTGGATGAACGGCGCCACATACGCTCACGAAAAGGCTAGAAAGGCGGATGCGTCGATTCCGTTTAAGAGCTCGGTGGAGAACTTCTTCATGACGGACGTCATCTCAAAGACGAGTGCCACGATGGCAAAGTGCACCGAAGCTCGCAATGAGATGAACGCGTGAGCGCGGGTTTTACCGCCACCCACTGTAGCAGCCTTAAACTTGTAAGATACATCACAAAACGTGCAAATTCGACGACGCGCTCTATACGGATTGGACCGAAAATTCTTGCGGCTTCATCGCAAGATGCGACTCAGTAAATGCGAATTCGCTCGCCCGGAGAGAGGTTCTCAGGATTCTTGATGACGTCACCATTTCTATCGATGATCTCCACAACGTCCAGGTTGAAGCACCCGGCGATGGAGCAGAGCGTGTCGCCCTCCATGACCTCGTAAACGCCGCGCGGCGTCGGGCCGCGACCGATGTACGCCGTGTCCTCGTCCTCGTCTCCCGCATTATAGACGAAGTCTGCCGGCCATTCGTCCTCGGTCTCGTTCTCAGCCTCCACGACGTCGTTCACTTTCTTATTGTTCTTCTTCACGATCGATCGCACCTTGTCTCTCGCTCGAAGCCTATTCTCTGGAAGTCCCGCGAGGAAGACGCATATGGCGGCGACCAGGAGCGCGTTCGGCGACACCCTGGACGCGATCCCGCGCACCCAGCGCCTCTTCGCGAGCGACTTGACGACTTTATCATTCTTCTCGCGAATAAAATCGCCGTAGTAATGCGCTTGCTCGCTCACGCCGTGCAAGACCCTGTCTCCCTGCTCTTTCACGGCGCTCCCAAAGCTCTGGGCGACCTCGCCGAGGTGGTGCGCGCCTTCGCTCACGGCGTGCTTGATCTCTTCCACGTGTCGGAACGGCGATTGTCCCGGAGAAGCCGCTGTCTCTTCGGTGGCATTCCGCCCCGACGCCGCGCGCGCCTCCTCTTTTCTCTGTTTCTCCGCCGCGCGCGCCTCCTCTTTTCTCTGTTTCTCCGCCGCGCGCGCCTCCTCTTTTCGCTTCTTTTCCTCTTCGCGTTCGAGCTCCCACAGGCGCTTCTCCTCCGCACGCAAGAGTTCAAGCTGGGTCTCGCGCGCCGCCAGCGCCGCCTTCGCCTCTTCACGTTCGATCCTTTCCTTCTCCTTCCGCGCGCGCGTCTCCTCGATCACGGCTTCGCGCTCGAGTCGTCGCGCCTCCTTTCGCGCCGCGCGCGCGTCCTCATCCACGCGCGCGCGAGAGACCACGCCCTTCAACCACCCCACGGCCACCTTTGCCCCACCGACGACGCGCGTTTGCAGACCCCGCCCACCCTCCGTCTCCGTCTCCGTCTCCGTCTCCGTCTCCGCGTCCTCCGCCCGCGCGCCCGCCGCGCGCGCCCCAACGTCCGCCCCCCCCCC